AAAAATTGAAAATTCAAGTTAGTTTAATTTCAAAAGATAGATGAAAATAAAAATTGTATTAAGTCATTGTGATTATTTTAATGAATAAAATCCACTTTCTTTTGGTCTCCGATAATTCTTCAATGGCGAGATATTCGAATCTCGCCATTTTTTTTTCCGCGTTTCGTTTCTTTAGTGAGTCACTGTATACATCCTCAAAACATATCACTAATCGAATGGAAGCTTATTTTCATTGACCATTCTATTACATCCATATTCAATTTCATACTTAACCCTAACCCTAACCATACCATGCTTAAATAGGTACCACTCAAAATCTGTACCATACATGTGAGTTTCCGACCATATCATACTTTTTTTGCTCGGTCAGACAATCTCTATTTTTCCGTATACATAAATACAGTACCTCCAAAAGTATCGCCGATGCAAAATTAAAAATAAAAATTGTGATCATTATTCAATTTATTTAACATTTAATCGACCCTCCATTTGACTCCAACACCGCATTAATCTTTCGTGGCATTGATGCAGTAACCCGTTCTAAAATGGCCTCATCAATTTTTTCCCACTCCACTTTTAATGCGAGCTTACAGTCTTCGGAAATATCTCATTTTTTTGAATATTGTCCTTTAATATCTTCCAAATGTTCTCTATTGGGTTCAGGTCTAGAGAATTAGCTGACCAGTTATAATCGCGATTTTATTTTCCGTTAACCACCCCCTAATTTTTCCCACAGTATGAATTAGCGCAATGTCTTGTGTAACTTCCAGTTAACTCCTTAACGATAAATGTATCAATTAATAATTAAGACTCGTGATAAAAAAATATTTAAATTTGGAATCGAGAAAAAAAGAGCATGCAAGATAAATCGACTTTTGTTTTACTTATGTACTTGGAGGCTAAAAGAAAAAAGTTAAGGTGGACAAGTATCAGATTTTTTTTAACTGAGACTATTAACTTCACAAAGGATAATTTAACACCACAAAAGTTATTATATTATTGGAATGGCGAAAAGTTAGTTACAGTATGTAATTATGCCATGCAATTAATATTTTTGAAAGTATGCATCCTAAATGCATTGGTATCTGGATATAATACAATACAGTATTAACATATGCATTAGATACGAACATACATTGATACGGCGTAATACTAAACATGTATGATATACATGTACGTACGTAGTTTGTAACGATAATGACATTCAACGATTTTTTGTTTAACAAAAAAATCAGAGAAAGATATATACATGTATAATAGTTATTTACCGCTCAGCTTCCGATATCAATTGCTGCGCTTGCAAATCAACCTGATTTTTATCAACAAACGAACTAATTAATATTAAGCAAAATATGTATAATATTAATTTGATTGGTATTAGGTTATTTTCTACGTAAAACTTCAAAAGAAATGTATTGGGAGATTGCATAAAAATATTTTATAATTGTTAAGCTGCAATATTCCAGCGAAGAGATGTATGCAAACTTCTACCATTAGTACATTGCAACACTTAATCTATTAATCCTTTTTGACTGCTTCCATATTGTGTTGAATAAGAAAAGAGTTAAACATATAGTCATATTATACTTACAATTCATTAAATTAGCTTTCATAATAACCACAAGCCAAGATCTTCGCTGCTAAGGAAATTTTATAAAAATTCTTACGGAACGAGGTTGCTCTGCAATTAAAAGTGTGATCTAAAATTCAAGGCGCACTTCCCTGCTTCAGTTATAAGTGTCACTTTTTCACATATAAGGTGCATTATGAATTATTTTTAATATGACTCGTTTAATTTATGGTGGTTGCTATATACGTATGTCGTCTAAACCTGTTTTTGAAAATTTTAGGTCACTTTTGTGGTTAAACTATTTGTTTAAAATAAACACCTAAACTCAACAAAGCCAAATCAAGTTCGGACTTGAAAAATTCTGTTAGCTTCAGATTTTGAGTTTTGGCATGTGGCTGTGTTTCGGCCAATTTCATTAATAATTACCATCTCTTCTTCATTGAATATATTCAAAATTTTATTGTTAAAGTTGAGTAATATTATAATGATCTGTTAAAGGAACTGATAATTAGTGCCAGCGTAACTGATTTTCTATATTTGTAACATTTGTTTTTTTACAATAATATGCAGCTTTAACTTGCAGCATCAGAATTTTTTCTGCATTACTCATCTTTATTTCTCAATCTTTATTATCAGTACTGTTAATCGTTTCAATCTTCTTAAATAAAGTTGTCGCTGTTTTAAAACCTGAAGAAAAGATCAAGATAGGTCGTTTATTTTGCCGTGGGACGTGATATAAGCCAGTTATTTTATGGATCAGCCTCGACAATAAGAATTTACATGATTCATGCAATTGACGATTGTTAACGATGATGCTGAACCGTCGAGGGATTTAGTGCGTTGTTTCGTAGTAGTTGTTATAAGTGTAGAAACTTAAATCGTTTTATACTTACTTTTTAGTAATTTTGATAGCCAACACCAGCCGTAATTCGAGCTCTAATGCTCATCGGCGTCGTTGGATAAATCATCGTTCGCGGTCTCTAACAATACTATTAGTAGAAACTTTGAAAAATTCAGTTTATCGAGACAGGTATCTACAAATTCGGTTTAACAGGGTTGTGATGTTATCAATATCTGGTACGTGTATATACAATTTCGTAAGACATCACAAAGTATCTTTGGGAAATGGTAAATCAATCAACGATGCCACGACACGAAGCTTTCACAGAGACAATAGAATAATTAAGACAACGAGGAAGGAGACGTTAGTGTTAATGACTAGGAGGAAGCTAGCAAGACTGGTGAATATAGCGAGACCAAAGAATAAGGGTAGCTTTTGGGCCGATGTTCAACTGGCATTCGTGAAAATCGTGCATAGCGATAGGTTTCCTGATTATCATTATCGTTATACGTATACATGTATTATAGAGATTGTATGGCTACAGCTTAATAAAATAATTTAACTATTAAAAAATATATCGGTCTGCTATCGTGTTTTCGTGATCGATTTATTGTTGTTACGCATACACACGCGAAATTCACATACATTATCGTTATGCACGCAATTATTTCCTATAGTGTAAAGACACATCAACGAAATATTTAACTATCACTCTTTCCGTCGAAATGGCGCTTGATGATATCAATGTTTATCGTTTCTCATACTGTGATAAATGTTTAGAACACAATAGTCACGATTGTAGTAAATGTAACGGTAAAACAAAATGAAGATATAGACCATCTAATAAAAGAAGGCGCGAAAGTTAAAAATTTATAAAGCATGAATGCACTCTTACAAGTGGGATCATGAAGAAAATCAAATTTAAATGGGAAGTTTTGTTGAAATCATTACATTAGAGTTTATAAACGAGGTAAAATGAACACTTTCTAAAGTGTTGTGTATTAGCCAAAATCTCAAGTACAGTCAAAGCTGGATATAATGATAAAATTGTACCTATGAACTTTCATATGAAATTTTAAAACATATCGTTATATTAAGATTATCGTTAGAAATTTCATATGCTGTCATATAAAATGGGAAATAGGAATTATATCGTCACAACAGGATTGAGTACATATCAATTATATGAAGGCATCGTTACGTTATATCCAGCTTTGACTGTACAGTACTCAATGGTATCTTTGCGGATATACGTATTGATATTAATTCCAATACGAAAAATCAAACCATATTATTCAAGAGCCGAGAAAAATTCAAAAAGAGGGATTTGTACATCGTGATTGAAAAATCCATCTATCAGAACAAACAGAAAATCGATTTACTCAATTTCTAGAGTGCCTTCAAACTTTTCCGAATTTCAAATCGAATCCACTCAATTCTATTGGTATGAATCCTATATTGCAGGAAAAAATACAGCAATTGTTCAATTTCTCCCTCACAAATAGATCGTTTATTTGAAAAAAAAGTCCCATAGGAAATGCTCAGACAAAAGATGTGATTTGTTTAAGTGGTAAACATCAGATCAGTTTATCAGACTATTTTTAATTTACATCAGGTCATTTCCCTTCTTTAATTCTCTCCTTATATGTTTTTTACTAGTTCCAAACTTTATATTAAAGCTTATAAACAAATAAACAATCAAGTAAGTTCCTTTAATTCCAAGCACGAAAAAGATCTGGAATCACAAGAAAAAATGGCACCCATCCGAAGATCGATTTCCGAGAGAACAATTAAAAGAATGGAGGACATAATACGTGCCTACAAAAACCTCGCAACCCGTCAAAAATGGTTTAACGAAGATGGGACAATCTTCCCGGTTTCTGCTAGGAATCTAGAAAAGTATATCGAATATAAAGGGAGAACAAATACAGCGAGAAGTGTAAGGTGGTGGATGTACTTTCTCGAGAAATACCATAACAATAGCGAAATTGCCGAATACCGAGTACATTGGAATACGGCGAAGCATGATCCTAGAATCGAGCAAGCGTTGAAAAGGCTTAAGGTTAAAAATCAAATCGAGAGAAACAAAGCACCATTATTTGATGGTATAATTTCTTCTTATATCATTGAACTTTTAATTGTTGATTAAATGATAAATTTATCAGAAAAAAAAAAGTAGAGCCGTTAAATATTTACGCGAATAGCACTAAAAATCCGACGAATATCCCAGAGATTGAAAACAATATTCCAGAAGAAAAACCAGTGATTATATATTCATCAATTGTTTGACATTTCAAGATTCCTTAATATAAATCATTTCAATTAATGTTTAGCGAATTGAAGATTTCCGAGCACACTACGAAAGGACGCACTCGTCGCTCCTACAAAAATACGTCGGAACTTGTCCTATACATCGCGAAGGATGCTTTCAGATCGACAAAAATCATCATTTGAAATTAAACGAAGTAATGCTTCGTAGATGGGCTTTTTGCCTAGTGAGTTAACTTTTATTACTTTGGCAAACACTAAAGGCAATTTTTATATGAATTTTTTTTAATTTCTGATTTCAGGCTTGTGGCGATGAAGGAATTACACAAGATTCGCTGCCGGATACGCCTCTCATGCCAGAATTCTGGCCATGTTGCGCAATAGAGATTTAAATTATATACGTATTGTGTGTGATATCTCAGATTACTCTAAAGCTTATGTGATTAAACAATGTAATTGTAATGTAATTGTAATGTACATGTATTATCGTTATAAATCAAGTTTGATCACGGTTTAACCGAGTTACTTTCAAAAGTTTAATTTATTAAAAAAACAGTTTAGCTATGATTACATCAAAATATACTCTAAAAAATCAGTATTGTATATCTCTTTCCTTTCCAACCTTCACGCGTATTGTCGAAAATGACATACTATTCGCCACCGCCAAAAAACTTTTCGCCAAAGCGTGAACTTCAAAATGTCCCCTTTTCTAGGTATTATCTATTTGCCCATCAATTCTCGAGTTTATAGTAATATTTTCTTGGTTCGCATTGATTAGAGTATCCAAGACCATCGTGAAAAGTATGACATCAATTGAGAGTGACGGTATTATAAGTCAAGTCTCAGTTTTCATTCTATCAAACATTAGAAGAGAGAGATATATATAATTTTCTTTTCGAAAAAGATGGTTGCTCCACTACACCCATCCAAATTCTTGAAGACAACCAAGAGGATGATGAATCTAGTCGAGCAAAAATTACCACTTCATCGACAATAAACTTCTCTGCTTCAGAAAGTAAATCCGGTGATAATTCGACGATTGAATGGGGAAAAGGGTCGCGGTCTCTTGACTTAAAAAGAGAAAAATCTCGTAGATTGAATGAAAAATATGCTCTCATGCAGGTAAATACCTCGCCGAATTATTAATTTTTCTTCGTCAACATATCGTTGTAATTACTTGAAAAAATAACAGAAAAAAATGACCGAAATGGCTCAAGACATGACAGTTTCACGACGCACCCCTAAATTAAATCGTGCATTCGGAAAATCATCTCGTACCGCTGGTCCGTACGGCATTAAAAATGCGGGAAAGTATAGTAAAAGAGCCTCTTTGGTAGAACAAGATGATTTCTCTGCAAGTGGCAGTAGCGTTAGTAACTTATTTAAAGGTGGTAATTCTTCAGGCTTTGGACCGTCATTAGAACAACAGCAGCAACAATGGCGAAATAAGGATTGTTCTTTTCAACACAATGTATGTCCTTAATATCTATATTTTTCTTTATTCTAAATATACAATTCTGACATTCTACGTATTACGTAATTAGTCATTTGAGAGTGATACGTTGGATGGAACTAGTAAATCAACAACATCCACACCACACTCAATTGGATCTTCCAACAACACAACACCATCTCAATCCCATGCTCAAACCTATAGATGGATCTCTCAATCATCACCTACTACTACTACAAACTCATTGTATTCTACTCCGAATAGACCTAATCACCAACCTATTAATACACGTAATCCAGCGAGACGTATTTCCTCTGTATGGCCACCGCCATCGATTCCGAATAATGATCCTCCTTCGCCTTCTCCGATCCCTAGGATATTTAAAGACGATAACAATATGGATATTGATCTAGAGACTAACTTAACTTTGTCTTCTACATCATCGTCGTCTTTGTCGTCGTCTCATAAAAGAAACGGAATCGATGAGCAGGTAATTTTTTTCTTAATTTCTCAATCCAATAATCCGAGATCTTAAGCATTTTGTTTTACTGAATATTTTCTAGTCTACATCAACTTCGCCCGAAGAAAATATTTATACGAGACAATTGTTTCATCAGAAATTGGGATTAGAAGATGCTGCAAGACCACCTTTGTTGTCAAACAACATTTCCCTCGGCTTGGATGATGAGGATACTAACAATAATGACAATAGATCAGATATTTTCACAGATTAAGAAATTCTAATATTATATAATATGAATCTACACATGTGGAAATTGTGATTGCACTAAATTAAACTTGAAAATTACATAATAACGATAACCGAACTGCATTTATTTGTCAAGTTCCATCTGGTGGTTGGTCATTCGGAAGCACAAACACTAACAGCTTATGACCATAAATATCCTCAAAAGCATGCAGAAAATATAGGCTGTTTTTGTTTCAAATTAAAATTCTTGGCGAATCATTAATACATGTAATCTATATGCACATACACATTTTCAATGGCCATACCTGTACCAGTTGAGAAAAAGTCAAACTAGTTTTTAAACTTGATTTCTTTTCACCCTCCTTTCCATAAAGATCGTACAACAATCCACATGAGCTAAAATTTTTGTTGTCGCACGTACACACTTTTTAGAAGGTTGTCGCCTACATGTGTATCGTGTATATTTTTTTCCTTCATATTCTTCTCAATAGAGAAGAAGGAAAACGTGAACAGTATTATTTTTTAATAAATTTATCGTAGCGTTAGAATAACATTAGGATTCAAATAACACCGACAAATAATAGAATTCTCACTCGCACACATAAATAAAATGTCTATTACTACAACTATTCTCGCACCCACCATTAGCCTCACTACTATTCAAGAAGAAGCAAATTCAGTGGATAGTTCAAATACTGACAACAGTCGTATTGAAAAAAATGATCAAAAAGATCTGGTAGATTTTCTTGGTAAAGATTTGGGCATTAAACTTTATCCATATTTACAATTTGAAGACGTTACGCCGTTGAAACGTAAAGACAATGCTAAAAGCACTGTGAGAACTGGATTCTGGACTTTTCGTTCAAAAGAAGTCGCATTGAAGGAATTGCCTGAAATAATAAAAAAAGACGAAGAAAAAAGTCAACAGCTCTATAATGAGGTAAGGGGGAGAGGTGTTTGGTGCATAATTGTTAAATTTCGCCGAGAATTACTTTACAATTGATTTTCTTTCTTTAGCTACGTTTGCTCAAGAAATTAACCCTTCATGAGAACATCCTACAATATCATTGTATAACGCAAGGTAATTATTATTTATTCCTGACGCATATATAACCCATTGATGATGTTGTCGCTTACTAAATAGGCTCCTTTTAATTATCATCAGAGCCAGAATCCGAAAAATATCTTTTAGTACTCCAACACATAGACAGTGGCGATTTACGTTCATATTTAGAGAAGAATGCGAAAGAGATGTCTTGGGTGCATAAATTACGTCTAACTAAAGGCATCGCTTATGCACTTCATCATCTACACAAATCAGGAATAATACATCGTCGTTTGGTAATAGTCCATTATTAGAAATCTGGAAATTATGTGATTACGCGTAGACTGATTTTTTTTTTTTTTATAAAGCGTTCATCCAATATCCTAATAAATCGCGGTAGAGCAATTTTGACAGATCCGATTACTTTCACTTTGGAATATCATTCATCATCATCACCAGCACAAAGTACTCTGCCGTTCATCGACCCTAAATTATTAGAGGATCCAAATTTAACGCCAGACTCACGATCAGATATTTACAGTTTGGGAATGATAATGTGGGAGATATCAAGTGGACGACAACCATTTTCTTTCGCTTTATCTGATCAAAATTTCGTGAATGGTATTATCGATGGAAAACGTGAATCTCCTGTACTTGGAACGCCCGTCGAATACATTCAACTATTTACCAAATGCTGGAATTCGGATCCTGATCAAAGACCAACCATCAAGGAAGTATGTGAGCGATTAGAGGATATGATGTTGACACCAGTTCTTCAAAAGCATGACCAAAAACAGGGCCACGATGAATATTTTGAAGATGAAGGTAATGACAGATAATAGTAAAATGACAAGACAATCATCGTTTATTATTTTTTATTCAATTGTATCTAATATAAAACTTACTAGGCATTCAATCGGACGCAAATGGATCTTTAGGGATAGAAAAGCGAGGTATTCACAGCAATGATCCCACCTTTAACTTTGATACAATCAACGATGACCCAATGGAAACGCATCATAACAAACATGAATCAAAGTTTGAAATTGTAGAGAATAACGATGTTGTATGTGTTTGACATGTGTATATAATCAAAACGTATGTTTGAAAAGACTAATGTTTTTACTTTTTGTTTTTTTCTTAGGAATCAGAGTCGAAGTTTGAAATTATAGAAAATGGCGACGTTGTATGTTTTTGACATGTACATGTAATAAAAACATAGTTTGAGAAGACTAATTATTTTTTTTGTTCTTAGGAATCAGATTCGTCGTCGAATTATCCAGAAAGTATTATAGAACAAGATGATGATGATGAAATAGGAGTAGTTGATAATAACAAGTCTCCAATACCGGATAAACTTCCTGTTTCGGAAGAACTTGATATAAATGATAGGTAATAATTGTTATACATGTTAATCTGAAGATAAATCGACATTAAATTAACTCTTTATGTTTAGTTTTATTTCTGAGACACATGATCCGCATCAGCAAACCTCATCAACACCAACACCAGATATCGCTTATGTTGCTGCTCCTACGAAACGAAAATCGAAAAAAAAGTTTTTCAAAAAGGGATCGTTAAAGGAGTTCGTGAAAAAATTATTCCGTATAAAACCAATTTCACGAAAAAAAGAAAAAAAGGCGTAAATTATGGTAACGGCGAACTTGATTGTCAAATTCGCAAACTTATTGACGTGACGTAACTCTACATTAAGGACGTAACCATAACGGGGACGTCAAAACGTATATAGTAACTATAAAGAAGGGATAAGTCTGTGACACACGTTATACCCGTGAATTTCCTTTGTCTAATTGCGCTGTATTATAGATTGAAATTAAATTGCTAATAAATTTTAGAAATGTGTAGTGTATATACATAGATTTTTTGTGTTATGGAGTCATTTCGTTAATTCTTTTAATCGACTACGAAAATTATATTACAGTACATATATTCTTTTAATCGACTTGGTACTTATTTGTTGTGTTGTTATTTGTTGGTGTTGTTCAGCGATCACCCTTGAATATTTTCAAGTGTCTCATGTTGAAACGCACATCGCGTATGATGTGTGCATGCATGCAATGACTCACTATACTGTTTAAATAAACAGAAGTTTCCTTTTATCGTTGTGTTCTCAAGTGAAACAAATTTTCGGAATAAACGTGCAACTTTATTTTTCCATTTACAATTCTTTTTGATACACTTTAAAGTGTAGCACGTATTTGTGTTGTTATGTCAGTGGAACTAAAGAAACACCACGAAAGCAAAATTCAAAAGCAAGAAACCGAACCCTAAATAAATAGTAGTTGATGGATATTTCCAATTATGTGCATTGCTATGTGAAGATGTCGAAGAGGTTGGTGGTGACGATTGATTATTGGACAACGACGTTGTTGCTGTTGTTAATGAAACTGTCGCATTACCGCTACGTATTTGCAATTTGGTATTTATGGAAATGATTAGATGTTAGTTCTTGTTTGGCAAATTCAAGATTCATAAATCACTTACTTGGTGGTTGATGTCATTGAATTCGCAGTCGCTAAATGATTTTTGTCGAATAACAATAGGAGAAAACACAAGCCAAAAAGTATTATTTTGTATTTATGCATGCCTAGGTGTGTGCTGTGTATAACGAACGTGTGTGTATATGCGCAAGACAATTTTGTATTATATCGATATGGTATTTTTAACGCGAAAATCAATCACTAACAGGTATTAGAAAATGATTTGCATTGTTCAAACAGACTGCAAAAATGAGTTGGCTATACATTTATATATATCTGATTTGGAATTTAAAAAAAATCTTCAGGGGGGTCAAACGGACACTTGTGATAGGTTGTTGATAAAACACCCTTGAAATTGTCTTGTGGCGTTTTATTCGAACATAATATGTGAAACTTCTTAAAAGAAAGATTATCTAATAAGAGTGACGACATTTTGTGGACACAATTTCATCATTGTTTAAAAAAAAAAGTAAATTTATATTCTTTTTGGTTCTTTATCTTCTAAACCATCTCGCAATCTTCCCATAAATCTCCGTGATAAATCCACCAATCGAACCCATACAAAACAAAACATGCTGACGCCCACCATTCGAAGATCCGTCAACGCCAGGCGCGGTAAAAGGTTCTTGAGTCGGATGATTTGGGTCAAAACTTTCTTCTCGGTTTGCGGACTGTTGCAAGTCGTTAGACGCGAGATTATTATCAGTATTGTTGTCTTTGGATGACATTTTATTTGTGGTTTTTAATTTTATAATTTTACAAATAAGAGTAAAAATGTCTCAACTCTTTTGTGATCAATATTGGCAAAATGACAAAAATGGCATGTCAAAAAAAACTTGGTCGTTAATTAGAAAAATATAACGATTAGTCAAAAGGTTTGTCATTTACTCACTTTGTCAAAAACTCTGCTTACCTTATTATTATTCGTTATTGTTATGATAACAGTATATAACAGTATGATCTCATGTGTGATCGTGTTCTACACATCTTGAACTTATTTGGGTATATAGTGCAAACTTGGCAAAATCTCGATATAGCGATATTGGAAAGTCACATCGCAATTTGATAAATTACTACATCGATATAAAATAAATCAATAGATAAATTGCATTAACAATCGAAATATCATTATTCATGCGCAAGAGAAATAAAATGTATATATTTGCTGGCTCTAATTAGACCAACAGAGCAAAATATCTTGCCAATTCATCAATTAATTTTATTATCTACACACTAACGATGCCTTGTGTTCTTATTGTTATTTTCACTGTGACTTTCGTTTCGTTGGCTTCTGCTGGGTTTCACAGAATTCCGATTCATACCGTTGGGATTAAAGCTCGTGGCCTTTACTCAACACCCTTGTATCCCTCGTGTGCATCGTTACAATTTCCATGTGCAACTGGTCTATTGTCACCAACCACTGGTTGCATTACATCCGGTCAATTATGTCACGGCAATAATCTTCAAGCTGCCGGCTGTTATGATAATGCTCTCCAATATTGCTCGAATTGTCAAAATCAATGCGAAAGTTGCAACTACGGCCAAAATTCTTGTTCGGTTTTGGCGCGTCGAGCGCCTTTGTACTTGAATCAATGTGATGAATGCCAAAAAACGCATCAACTGGAAGGATGTGCGAATAACGCGCTTGAGCAATGTTGTAATAAACAAGACGAAGTGCAGAAATGTAATTCTTACGAACAATCTTACAGTAATATTGCAAAGAGAACATTTCCAATTACTGCACCCTGCGGATGTGCGTCAGCACCTGTAATCTCACCATGTGAATGTGGAACAATAGCAGCACCCGTTTCACCATGTGAATGTGGAACAGTAGCAGCAGCACCCACAATTTCACCATTCGGATGTGCAACTTCGCCGAAGGTAGTCGATGCAAAACTTTGTGCTTCAAAAGAATGTCAACAAGCCGGTTGTGAGAATCATGCTTGCCAGAAATCCACCAATCAAGCAAACGAAGAACAGTGTTGTGATCAACAAGAACATTCATATAGCCTCGTCACTAAACGTACACCATTGGTATTATCGCAAACTAACGAATGCCAAGATCAACTCGCAAAAGCCTCTTGTGGCGGTGAAGAACTTGCGCAATGTTCCGATAACCAAATTCAAGCAACTTATTCTGACCAATATGAAAAAGAATATAATCAAATTGTATAAATTTTCAAAGCTCTAATTTAATGTGAATAATGTACTTTTAGCATATACATTTATCTACTTTTATAGAACTGTAATTATATATTTATGGCGTGTTTTTAGCTTGTATATTTATATGTAAAGCTATATGACAAATAAAAATTAACTACCTAAAGCACTTAATTTGCATCTGGTAATACCCTTACTTACAAAGGATCCAAGCAAGAGTGCATCGCGCTTTCTATCAACAGCTGCAATAGAAATAGCAGTGAATTCTTTTCCATCACTATCCAGTACCTTTGTCACCTGGTAATTACTGCCAATACGTGAATCCGCTTTCTTGGTGACGTTAGAGATTTTGACAATGAGATCAGGAGCTGGACTTTTTGGATCTTGAAGGTATTTAATCAATGCGGGTAGATCTGGGAAACCTATATATAAACTAAATGATTAGAATCTAATAAAAGATTTTTTTTAATCTTTAAATATTTACCTGGAGTGTAAACTTCGCCGGTTACTTCATCTACTGAAAGATTGTCAGTCGGAATACCAATATGAACGCGTTCTGTTTCAAATAGTAAATTATTATCGAGTCTAGTGTAAATTATCGTTTCCGTTGTTCCTCCTGAATTGACATAAAAGCGACTATAATTCCAATTGGCAACGATTCCATTTCCTAATGAAATTCCTTCAGCTGCAACAAAGTCCGTTCCATTTTTCGCATGAAATATCACATTGGTCCATAAGCGCCTTGTTGCGACTAAAAAAGAAATGTCATTATTTTTGACACAACAATATAATATGCATACAACAATACAGTACTTTCAAATTCTCTCTCTTTTTCTTGCTTGTATGTATATCGATGATCATTTGTCACGTAAAACTCATCGGCCGAAACTGCTACCAGATCATTAGGTGTAACAATGAGTTCACTTGATACGGTCTTCCGATAAATAAGCTCTTTGGTGCCGATTGTGTGGTCGAGTATTTCAACTACGCTTCCCGAACGACGATGGTTGATAAGGAACACTGTTACTTTATTTGAGTTGGAAGGGTCGATATACAGTGACAGGCCGTGAAGAGAGACATCAGTATCCTTCGGGAAATCCTTGAGCTTCAATGGGAAAATCTCCTCGGTCTATTTTTAATATATAAGTACGTAGAATATATTTTCTATCAAAAAATAAAAATAATAAATTCCATACCTCCAAATTATAAATCCAAGGTGTTTCAAGTGGTTGAACTGTCGTATTTACACTGCCAAGTGGCGGCCACCATTGCGTTCGTCGTCCATTTTCTGAGCCGCAAGCCATGAATGCGAGGCCACTTTTATGGTGAATTTCAATATCTTCGCACGCCTCTGGTCCTAATATAATGAAATATTCGATTTTTCCGATAAAAAAGCAAAATCATCGGGCTTTGAGCACAAGAAATAAGCATACCTTTAATTGGACGGCATTTTGGATCAGATCTTACTATAATAGAAAACACTTTTGCTTCATCGTAAAGTTGAGCTAGTAAAATGAAAAATAAAGCACGATAAAAATACCGATACATTTTTTTCGGATTTAATGGAGCAAGAGGATCAAACGCAGACAGGCGTCTGTCATATATATATCGTTATGACAATTCTATTCTTGTCTATTTGGCACATGTAACAACACCAATTTGGCTATTAAACATGAAGCTTGGTGTATTTTTCGAGTAAACTACTCGTTTACTAATTGTTCTGATGGGATCCATCGCTTATTGGGTGAAATTGATCACGTAATATTGAATGATACAAAACAAATCCGACACAAGAAAATGAAAAATAGCATTTACTAATTTCCCCCCAAGTTTTGATTGGACGCAAGTAATTTCCATCGCTGATTGGTTGACTGCACACCGGGTCTTCTAGATTAACCAATAAAAATGAATAAATTTTTATCAATCCGGCAAGACAAATCCGACACAAGAAAATTAAAAATGAAATATACAGAAAACGAATGCTTAGATGCACTAATAAAAAATGTCGGGGAAGCAATTTTACATATAACCTTGATCTCCACTCTAACCCTAACCCTAACCCTAACGCTAAAATTAACCTTTAATATCCTCAACCAATCAGAACTTGGGGAGGGGAAATAGTAAATTCGAAAAATACAGGAAGCATAGCTTGGTACACTAATAAAAAATGTCGGTGAGGCAATTTTACATACAATCTTAATCTCCATTCTAACAGAATAATTTTTCCGTCCTTGGGGTAGTTGATTACATACACAATATAACGTGATCAATTTATCTGCGTCAAACCAGAACTGGGAAAAATTATAAATTCCAAAACATGGTGCAAAGAATTTTCTATATAAACTTTAATAGTTTTGATAAATAAATACTAGCAAATAATTGAGAAGATAATCACACTTATAAATCTGGCCAATCATATCGACTTTATAAGTCATGATCTGCAAAATTTTCAGCATTGATGTTTCCCAGTACTAAATTTCTCCGAGTAATATCACATGGTCACATGTTGATCAAATTCACAAATTTTAATAATGCAAAAATGCAAAACGCTATTAAAAAAACTTTTATTAATGATTTTTTTATTAAATTTAAGATTTAATATCTTTATTATTGTATTTTAAATATATATATATGCAAGTATATAAGAATCTTGCATAATAAATATAATTCAAATAAATTAAATTATAATCAACTAAGCTATATAAAAAATTATAATTTTTTTGCATGTTCTAATAAATTCTTTATTGTTACTATATCATTTGTTGTTACTTTAGCATTATCCAAATTATCTTCAATTATATTTTTTCTATTTTTATTAATAAATTCTTTTTCATAATTTTTTTGTTATATTTACTTTTAATACATTAACATTTTTTTTAATTTTATTCAAAAATAACTTAAATATATTAAATAAATTGATATATTTATAAATAATAACTATAATAATTATGTTTACATGTAAGAACATTACTATTAGTTAAATAATTAATATTATTATAATATAAATAATTATATAAGATGATTATACTAAATTTTCTAAAGATAACAAAGTTTTCTTGAAAAATAATAATTAGTTATTTTATAATCTAAAAAAGTCAATTTGTATAAATTAATATCATTATTAAAATTAATAATTAAAGAATATTAATAATATACTTGATTAGTTAAATTTTTTTATAGTTATTATTCTTAATAAAACAAAATTGAATAATTATAGAAATATTTTTTTACTATATTTATATATAAATAAAAAAGCAAACTAGAATAATTATAGAGAAATATAATTATAAATGTGTATAACTATAAGAGATTTGACTATATATCTTTGTAAATATATTTAAAAGTAATATAAAATGCTTTTAAAAAATTATACACAATTGTTTTGATATATATAATTATTTTGATATATATAAATATTTCATAGAATTTACAAAATATTATTTTTTTTGAAGTAAAAAAATAAAATATAATTAAATTTTTTTATATTTATCATTTTAAGAAAGTAAACTTTGATAACTATAAAAAGAATATGATTATAGAGAAATTTTTTATTATATTTATATGCAAATAAAAAAGCAAAATAGAATAATTATAAAGGAATATAACTATAAACAAATATAATTATAGAGAAGTTTGACTATATATTTTCTTTTATAATTATTATATTGTAAAAAACTTAGTGTTAGCTATATATTATCAAATAATAATATAAATAATTTTTACAGAACAATTATTTAATAAGATAAAATAATTTGTAATTATATTAATTATTAAATAATTAGTTTTCATCTAGTAAAAAATATCAAAAAAATATTAAAAAAGCTTGTTTATAATTTTTCAATTAAATTGAAAAAAATATTATTTTAGCAATATATATAAGCTTTTTCATAAACTAGTTAATTATAATATACTATATAAATATTAAAAATCAAAAAAATTAAATTACTTAAAAGATCAATTAAATATAAAAATTCAATATTTTTGCATATATAATCAAATTTTGAATAAATAATATTAATTATATCAAATTATATCAAATTATATTATATATAATATAAAAAATTAAATTAAATTATTATAATTACAATTTTTATTAAGATTTTTATTTTTTTTAAAATATATCTTTATAAATATTATTAAAAAAATAAATTTTTTGTATAAACAAGTTTATAAGATTATAATTATATTTTTAATATAATTTAATATTAATTATTATTATTTATTATTATTAAATATTAATTAATACTAAATTAATTTAAATTAATTATAATTTTATATATTTTTATATAATTATTATTATTTAATTATAATTTTGAATAATCTTATATAATCTTTTTATAAATATTAATATTTAGTTATATTTATAATATATATAATAATTTTAAAAAACTTTAATAAAAATTATTAATTGATTATTATAAAAATTTAACTAGTTAATAAATAAATTATAGAATTACTGGAATAGTTGTTATTATATTTTTCTATAATAATTGATCAAACAAATTACTAATTATTAATTAGTAATTAATTAAATAATCATATTAATAAAATACTATATTAATATCAGAATTATCAAATATAAGAATACAGAAATATATATAGTTATTACATATAAAAAGTAATAATTTAAAAATATTATATATAATTATTTTAAATTCTTTATTTTACTTAAATAAAATAATTATTATAATATAAAGCTTATTAAATAATTAAATAATTTTATTAAATAATTATTTTTAATTATTTTTACAATTTTTATTAAAGAAAATTAAATTTAATTTTCAAATATTTATATTTTTGAATAATTATAATAATACAAAACAAAAAATTATAAAATAAAAATTCTTATATAAATAACTAGAATAAATATCATATTAATATACAAATCTAAAAATAATTACATATCTAATTAGATTATTTATTTTTTATCACATAATTTACCAATTAAAAATAATGATATCTTACTAATTAACAATTAAAATTATAAAGAAATTTTATCATCAAATTCTTTATAATTTAAGGAATCTGAAAATATAAGTTTCATTATTATTGAACAAAAACTAACAAAAATATTCAAGTTTAAAATTGAGTAGCAAAATTTGGAATTTACCAATTAAAAACAATAATATTTCATTAACCAATAATTAAAATTTCAAAAATTTTTATATTATCGAGATTTTCATAATCTAAGAATTCTGAAAATATAAGTTTTATTATTATTGGACAAAAACTAACAGAAATATTCAAGTTTAATATTGAGTAACAAAAAATTCAGAATTTATATTCCATGTATGAAATTTATAATTCACCAATTAAAAATAACAATATCTTATCAACCAATAAATAAAATTTTATATTATCAAATTCTCTATAATCTAAGAATTTTAAAAATATAAGTTTTATTATTATTGAACAAAAATTGATAGAGATATTCAAGTTTAAAGTTGAGTAACAAAAAATTCAGAATTTATATTTTGTATATAAAATTTATAATTCATCAATTAAAAATAATAATATCTTATTGATTAACAATTAAAGTTTCAAAAATTTTTATATTATCAAATTATTTATAACTTAAGAATTTTGAATATATAAATTTTATTATTATTGAATAAAAACTGATAGAAATATTTAAGTTAAAAGTTAAATAACAAAAAATTCAGAATTCATATTCTATATCTAAAATTTATATTTCACATGATAATATATAACAAGATTAATTAGTTAATAATAAATATTAATTTATAAATTTCATATTGTTATCGTTTTCGTTGGTTTTATAATTCTTCAATATAGATCACGTGTTCTTCACATGTTTCAATCAGGTGGGAGAGTTTATAAAGATTTTTACGTATTTTTATTAAGTTCAAAAGGTGGGAGAGACTAATTT